ATATATATATATATATATATATATATATATATATATATATATATATACATCTGTCTATCCATTATCTTTTACCCGCTTCTTCCACTTTGGGTCACGGCGGTCGCCGGTGCCCATGTCCAGCAATCACTGTGCGAAGGGCGGGGTACACCCTGGACAGGTCACAAGTCCATCACAGAGCCACATAGAGACAAATGAGACAACCAACCATTAACTCTCTCACTCACACCTAGGGACAATTTAGGGTTACCAATCAGCCTAACATGCATGTTTTTGGTCTGTGGGAGGAAACCGGAGTACCCAGAGAAAACCCACGCATGCACGGAGAGAACATGCAAACTCCACCCAGAAAGGCCCCTGGACCGGGATTTGAAAATAAACTACTACTTGCTACTTGTACTACTATTCCTACTTTGTGGTTTTTCACTTATTGCGGGTCTTCAGGGCACAAATTCCCCGCGATAAACAAGGGACTACTGTACTTCCAAACTGATTGCAGTGTAAAGTATTTTATAAAATGATGTTTGCATGAACTGCCATGATTTTTTTTTTTGAGACTGGAGTTTGTTTTTAAAACGGAAATAATCTGTTTTGATCCAGACTCTGCTCAGAGTAGATGATCTCCGCTTAGATGTTAGATCTGAAATATCCCTTTAGGATTTGAGTGCAGATCTTAAAGAGACTTATATTTACACTTAGATGCAAGATTAGAATTCTGCGTTTGAACCTCTAAAGATTAGAAATGGGAAAACTTTAGTAAAAGAAAAAAAAAACATTTTACAACTTCTACATGAGTCCTTTACTGTGCTTAATTCTCATAGTTCAGATAAATGGGATTTTGAAAATGATACTTTATAATCTGTTTAAACTCACTTGAATACTAAATACTGTATGTGCAACTTGGAGTAAAATCATAAAAAATATTTGGATATATTCCTGCTTATGGTACATGCAGTATGACAAAAACGAGCATTTGGTCACTTTTTTTTCTCTTACCAATAGGCGTTCCCACTCCGTAGCCCTTGGAGTCTATGAGACCTCCGATTTGCGTGAGGTTGCAGTTTCTCTGGCTAATGTACTCAATGCTTGTGGACTCCATTAGCATGGCATAGTCTGTCGTCAAGACTCGTGTGATCCCTTCCTTGTTGTTCTTAACTAATGCAGTCTTTCTGCTACTCATGAAGGCCCACATCTTCTCATAGGTGGAGATCTTTGATTTCTGTTTGACCCAAAGAGGCAAGAGTTAGTAAAAAGTGTAAAACAGATGTGCTGATAAAAAATTCACATGTCATCCATGTTTGTAGCTGAACAAAAATGCAATCATCTATCCAAAGTGGTATTTTCTGTTACCACTTCTATATAAGGCATGGTGCCTATCTCCAGCAGTCACAGTCCAAGACTAGGGTGCACCCAGGACAGTTTGTAAGTCCATCACATTGCAACATAAAAGCAAATGGGACAAACAGCCATTTACACGTTTTCCCACACGAGAGACACCTGAGTTACCAATTAACCTACAATGCATATTTAAGATCTGTGGGAGAAAACTGGGCAGCACGGGGGCACAGTTGGTACAGCTGCTGCCTCTCAGTGAGCAGGTTGCTCTGGTTCAAATCCCGGCCAGGGGACTTTCTGTGTGGAGCTTGCATGTTCTCTTCGTGCATGCGTGGGTTTCCTTGGGTACTCCGGTTTCCTCCCACAGACCAAAAACATGCATGTTAGGCTGATTAGTAACTCTAAATTGTCCCTAGGTGTGAGTGAGTGAGTGAGTGAGTGAGTGAGTGAGTGAGTGAGTGAGTG